ATAATCCTCGTTTACTCGTCATTGGTTAAGCCATAATTGGGTTGGTAATGGTTCCAAATTTACAGAGCTAATGTACGCCCACAAAATCGACATCCAAGCTCACTCCAAATTACGATATACATTAATAAATAATGCATCCCCCAAATCATTTAATTTTTTATTCAATATAATTATGCACAACATTTGTTACATGAAAAGATCGCAATACATTTCCGAAGGTAAATAATGTAATGTAATATAAATAGCAGGGTAAATGTATTTTAGCTTGAAAAATAAAAGGTAGTTGGTCAGCCTCATAGTTTCTAGATAAATTGACATTAACCATCGCATTCCTGCTTCCTGAAACGTGCACCTGCACAGAGGCAACTTCCGTGAAGCGGCGTTTCGGTCACGCGCGAAGGCGCAGCGTGGCGCGTCGAATGACTGACCACTGCTCCCGCGGCGACCTTAGGCTCCGTATCGGCGGTCACGTGTGGCGGTGAACCGTGGCGTCCCGAGGCACCGCGGCGCCGGCTCCGCCGCCCACTGCGCGCGGCAGTGGGGCGGGCAAGCGGCAGGCGCCCGGCAGCGCGATAGCAGCGGGGCGCGCGGGATGTTTACAAGCGGCGGCGGCGGCGGCGACGGCGGCGGCGAGCGGGCGCGCCCGGCGCCGCAAATAGCCCGGCGCGCAGCGCGCACGCTCGCGCGGGCGCCGCAAGGTCGCGCAGTCGCCCGTACCGCTCCCGCCACCGATGCTGCCGCCGCCGCCGCCGCTTGATTGCCAGAGACGCGTCACTGCGTCGCGGCGGAATCAAACGCATGGCTGACGTTTCGGGACGCGTGCGTGCGCTAGCTGCTCTGTTGCCTCGTTTTATTTGCGTTCATTATCAGGCGTCTAGCGGAGGCGCTATAAAGATGTGTTTAGATACCACTTCAGAAAACGAGAATGATAAGAGCAAGTTTTATCCACAAATCACACAGGGAATGGCCGACATTAACCTCTCTAGTACCAAGAAACACAAGACGTGGAGAGATAGAACCCAGAGTTTATCTTTTATACGAGCAATGAGAATGATTCAGCAAATTCGTTGATGACTGGGATCATACGTCTGGAACTACGCGCGGATACCGCAGCGAAGGCGAAGAACAAGAAGCAGCAACGGTGGCCCAAACGAAGCCAGCTGCGGTCGCCGTTGGAGAAGGGAGCAAACAAGGAGGCTGCGATAAAAACGTCGGAGGCGGCGACGGCGGAGGCGGAGGCGGCGGCGGCGGCGGCGGCGACGGCGGCGGCAGCGCAATGCCTTCGCGCCGCGCTTCCTCGCCGTCCATCACACCGCTTCACAGGGCCTCTGACTCCGCCCGCACCGCCACTGCCACCGCAGCAGCTACCGCCGCCGCCGCCGCGGCTATTTCGAGAGCCGCATCACGGGTCGTCGGAGGTGAATTCCCTTGTTATGCTAACGGGCCACCGCCGCCGCCGCCGCATGGAACGCGGCGCCGCACACTGAAGGCAATCTTCCACTCTTGTGATAGGAATCTACCGACCGCGACTCAATTGAATCACTAACTTAAACACGGATTGCCTGAAATGAATAAGAGAGGCGAGCTTCGGACGCTTTGTTTTGCATCGCCCGTTTGGTGGGTCAGATGCCTCGATAGTTTTACTTCCCTGAGACATCAACTACATGTCTACGAATTATTCAGTCAGCAGAGCAGACGCCCTACCCTCGCTGTTAAATCTTGTTTACTACGATTCTATACTTAATAGAATATCCAGTACTGCGGACCAAGATTTTATATTGTCTTTTATGATGTGTGTCCATATTTTTCTTTTGTTTTTATCGAGCACAAGGTTTCGATTTTCGCAAATCGTAGATCCTGCCGTTCCGTCGTGATGAGTGTGCTTTTAATTTTTGTCCTGCTCTCACAGTTTTTTACTTTCCCGTTTACAAATATTGGTGTTTTTATTAACCTAGAAGAAAACAATATTGGTTGTTTTGACATTCATTACTTTGAATTCATTTCCTATTCACTTGAACATATTTAACACGAGAGTGTTAATTTCCGCATCCACGTAGATATTGCACTTTAGTTTTTTCTTTGGTATGCATTCCATTGCTTTACAATTACACTTTCTGTTTCCATAATAATACGAATATATCTCCAGTGAAATGAAATCATCAAAATACTAAAGGTAACGTCTAATTTGTAAAAGAAAAGGATATAACATTAAGATATTTCATAATTGAAAAAAAACAACAACGTTTAACAATCTTTGTCAAAAATGACAACTCGAGAAATCCTTTCTACCTTCCTGTGCGAATTACATATCCGTACACACTCCATAAGTAATTGACATATGCTAACATTTTATACTCTTTTCCGTTCACTGACTGTTTAGATTCTTTACTAAAAACAGCTCAGTCACGAGGACCGGCAGCGATTCCCGAGCAGGATCTCTGCTCGCACTTAAAGCGGCCTGCTTCTCGAGTCGGGACGAGATGAGACGAGACGTGGCGGGAGGGCAGGGCGAATCGCGGTGAGGGGAGGCGAGGCGAGGCGAGGCGAGGTGAGGTGAAGTGGGAGAGCCAAGGGCGCTCGGGAACCCAGCGGCAACGACTCGTTACTGCGGCGCAGCCGTCTCTCGAGACACGGGGAATCCGCGCTCAAGTGTTTTCGCAGCAGGTTCTGTGTTGACATAAATCAACGCGGCTCTCGTTGCACGCGATGTCAATATCCGCGGCGCGGCCCGGAGCTCGCCGCCCAGGAGGAGCGGGCGCGCGGGCGCTCGTGTTTGGAATCCAACACACGCTCGCGAACAAGCACGACGCGGAGCGATTCGCGTCAATAGAGTGATTCACGTATTAGGACAGACGGATTGAAGACAACTTTCGCGCGTCCCACAAAGCACGAACCAGGGGGTTCAAACTTTGGCGTCGAAGGAGCGGTGCTGCAAATATGGTTTTGAAATGGGCGTTTCAGCCCAACGTTTATTCCACAAGATATACGGAATTTCTGTTTTAATCGTTTATAAAATGTGTCTATTATACAACAATTTGGTAATTTAATGTTGAAATTCAACACGGACATGAGGAAGCCGGGTCCGTTTTACAAGTTATTTTACAAATTTCATACAATACCAAAAGAAATGCAAGCGAATCTAGATATTACATTTCGCTGTGTATAATTACAGCAACGAGTTAATATGCACCGTAAACGCCTTATGTCGGAATCTGGTAGTGGACATACCAATTTAACATTATCCGTAACGGGGAGAGGGAATGTTTATTTTTGCATATCCGAATATTTTTTTATATCTTGCAAATACCATTTGCACACGGCTTGTACGCACGGGAAAGTGATAATTTTTTCACAAAACAACGAGATTCTGAAACGTTTGCGTAGCAACGTCATGCAGACAAAATTATATACGTTCTTCCACTTCAACACCTGTAGTGATTCTCAACTGCTGTATCGTGTTTCAATAATTTCATTTATTAAATGCTTTTTTTAAATTAATTTTCTTGAGAGAAGAAACACGTTGCAGAAAAAAATTGCTAGAAAAAGTGGGAAATAGTAGAGCTAAAAGATACCTTATTGTAACCAGGCATGTCTATGAAATTAGTAAAGTAATTCCGCACTGATGATAATGTAATACATCCCTTTGTTAAGAGAAAAACATTAAATAACGCATCAAATAACGGAGAATTACGAATGATGATATAAATATCGGTACTGAAACAGATTTTTGAACTGGACAGTAGAAAGACCAGAAGAGTAAAATAATACAAATAACCGAAATGATACTGGGTTCCATGGAAAAGCGCATAAGAACGTTGTTTCTCTCGGAGTGAAAAGAGAAATTTTGTCAGTGCGGGACAAGTATAAAATTGAAAAGTTCACACTTTTGAAAATTATTTAACACATCATGTTAGTTGATATGCGATGTAGTACTTCAATTGAAGATTAATATATTTTCCATAAACGAGTAGCACGTAAGTAATTCCAGTAATTCGTTTTGTGGAGAACCATACATAAACTTGATTCTTTTATGAACATAATTAGGGAGTTTTAATTACAAAAATCTAGTTCATGCAGAAAAATTATCACGTAAATGCTAATAACTACATAAACGGAAAAAAGATTTCTTGGTCTTCAAATTTAATATATATTTTGCCTCTATTTTACAAGAATAATTTCACAGATTTTGGATGTGTTACTGGCAACTAACAATAGTGTGATAATGTGCTAGCTCGACACAGAAACATTGTTGGGGTTTTCTCAAGTAGCTCTCCTTGTACGACAAATTGTTGGAACATGGAAAATTAATCAGGGAATATTCGCGAAACTGGTTTGAACTCCAGCTTATAAATTTACTGCTTTAATTGAAAATTGCTGAAAATTATTACAAGAATTGCCTCTATCTCCATACACACATATGATGTCTACAAGCTCTACTGCCCGACAAAAACACGAATGTATTACACATTGACTCTAACCAGGTACATAGCCAATGGATGTGCTTGGGGTCTGAAGACCAAGTGATTTTCCACAAATTTGGGCGATCCTAGGTGTTATCATTTGGATTTGCGAAAATTAAATGAACTAACGTATTAGCTATCTAAATGAATATGGTATTTTATTGCATCCAAGTACATATTTTTTCTTAGTGAGAAGAAAATGTAAGACAATTTCGCGAAATGTTACGTAAAAAGACCTTAGCCAAGATAGTGCTATCTTGTTCAGATTTTTCGTCCAATTTCCTTTGAGCCATTGAGAAAATGCTCGGATTGCTCCTTGCTATGGTTCTGAGCACTACATGTAACTTTTCTGCCTCTCGCTCGTCATCTACAGTTTTTACTCTTTTTACATTAAATAATAAATGAACATCGGTCGAGCTCTCCTCGAAAAATAAAATTCAGACTATGGCACCGAATACAGCCATGCTCACATTATTTAAAGGTGGTCACAGTAGTATATTTGCGACTTTGCGCCACAGCACGGCAGCATAGGGTACTCACACGAGTGAAGACACTCCACTAAGGTGGTCGCATCGATCAAGTATCCGTCACACAAGAAGCACGTGATCAGTGAGTTGATGTCTACCAACCGCACCCTGGTGGAGACTGGCGGTTGGTTGGGCGGCGGCGGTGGCGGCGGCGGGGGTTGCGAGGCAGCCGCCATCTTGCCCCGCCTGCAAAAGAAAAAAATCGCTGGTTCCTATCTGTAACCTTATCTACGTCGCTGCGCCAGTGGTAGGGACATCGGCGGCCAAGCATACAACACTAGTCACGTCTGCACCATACACACACCTCTGTGCACTTGCGCCTACTCTCTCTCCCTCTCCCTCCCTCTCTCTGTCTCACACACATACACACACACACACACATATACATTAACCCATGTATGCGTACATACGTAAACAAAACGCATTTTCATGCACATACGTAATACAAATACACGCACATACATATACATAAAAGCATATATACATTTTACATATATACAAACATACGCGTACACCCATTTTGAAAAAACGTATTTATAGCTATATAGAATATTACCACATACGAATATAGGTACAATCACGAGCATATACAGGTTGTCATTTCAGGCGTAAACAATCAACATCACCGTGTTCCTGAAAATATTACCAATAAATAATTCCTGAATCATTTCGACTTCGGGTGCATCGATATTCGTAGAAAGCATTTTGCGTAATTTTCGGCCAAGAAAAACGCTCTGCAGCCGCTGAAAGCAGCAGCAGTGCAGTAAGAAAAATTCGCGCGACTCAGAAAAATTACATTCTAAGAAACGTTCGTCCATTACATCATATTCAGAATGTACAGATAACCATATTTTACGCCCAAAATGACTAATAACTCGCCATCCACACGCATATATATACACCCACACACATAAATCAACTGATATATGCACATCATTCGTACAATAGAAGAACCACATGTCCAGCAAAAAAATCTATCGCTTTTTATTACTAACAAAATTCTTTTATTTTTAATAACGTAGTTAAATAATTAATGAATATTTTGACACTGAGCACATGATTCCGTGAGCACCGAGAACATATGATTCCCTGATAAAGCGAAAATCCAACGTATTCTTAAATTGAATCACTGATTAGGAAAAGAAATAACGTCCATGTTTAGACGCTTACAATGTTGTTCCTACAAATGTGTGATGCATTAAAAACTTGTAGAACTACGTTTCCTCTACTGGACGGTGAGTCTTTTAAACACAGTCAATACATAGTTTTGAATCTACCCTATTTTGAAGTTAGTGGATTCTTCTTTTTTTTAAGTAATTATCATCTCATGAGTAATTTACAAAGAAACGGAAATAAAGACAGGTTTAATTTGATTTGCGTTTAAGTCAATCATCTTAAAAGAGATACGTTATTTTGATGTATTAAATAAGTAATTTTAATTAAAAATATTGTAACAAGTATTCTACTCATCAGGTTAGACAACATTTCTTGGGAGCCATTGGAGACTATTATTATAAAACTCCCGTTATTCTGAAGGAATATTCTTAATTATTTTTTTAATCTTGCAGCTTCTTGTGGTTCACAGGAACTTGAGAATCGTACACCATATACTTGGGAGAACATGGTATTTTTTTCTAAATAAGTCTGTTCGTATACTTGGGACCTATTCCACCTATTCATTCCGAAGAGGCTACAGACTCTGGATGTCTTAATGTAGCAAGGTGAACACTGGTTTTATTATTTAGGGTAATTGAAGTTTTTTAAAAATAGTAATGCCACCTTTCTTTAAAATTAATGATATATTGATGATTAATGATCTTGACTTGAAAAGCATTCTGTGTTTGTTTGGAGTTACGAATAATCTCAATGATTTTTTTTCACGAAGTAAATCCTGTCTTGTTTTCCTATCGCATGCTTTATTATGCGAAATCTTTATCACAAGGGAAGAAGGACTGGTGTCGTACAGGAAAATACTGTTAAAGTACTTTCAACTTGCCCGTCATTGCTAGATACACCTGGTACCGTACATCTTCATTATTTTGTTTCTTCCCTCTACAGGCTGTGAATGGAAAACACAAAAATCCGAGCATTCTTTCTTTTTCTACCAATTGCAAACTTTAACTAGCAGACACTTCATTGTTTGTGCTCGTCCTTTCTTCCCCTTTCCATTGATTTGCCACGGAGTAGATGGCTTAAGAAGAAAATGTATACTATCTCAACTTATTTTTCATAAAAGTGAATTTTGTTCCTTTGTCCAATCAGCTATTCAATTTAAGTGTTCATTTATATCATATAATCTTGTAAGTAAGCGATCATCATTAGCGACTTTTATGTATGTACTCGGTGTTTTCTCCTGAAAGACACTACATTCATACAAATTATACACACGTATTTAGAAATGTTACACTGATCTCTTATTTAATGAAGTAATGACACACGACACTCCTTTATGCTGAAGATATATGAACTACTAAAATTACAATACCAAAATGTATTTTAGAGTTCCGTTTTAACCTATGTTCCTTAATATTCAATGTTCAAAAAGTTCACCTTATTTTAATTCAGAGTCCAGCAATTTGACATACACATATTCTAAAAACTTAACAGATACATGCGCCATAAAGTTAACACTCATTCTCACTTGGATTCTCAAAACTTTTACGCATCGCAAATAGCTGTTTATTATGTACACTCTCAATAAATAAATAAATAAATAAATAAATAAAGCCTAAAGAATTCCATGCAGTGTTTTTCTAAGTGGAGAATAACTCATTTGAATAGGATCCAGACGGGAGTTAGGTAATTGCGGGTTTTTTTCTTTAATAAGCCATGAAGTTGAATTTTTAATATTGCATCGCGCAAAAATCATCCCCACATGCTCATATCCAATTAACACTCATCACAATCACACAACACAATTACACACGATGATGGATGCATACGTAAAATTCCACGTCAACGCCCATGTCCATGGTGAGCTGACAATCAGTTACATGCCTGCCCAGACAGTACACAGACGTCGACGTTGACTCATGCACCGACACCCTAGCAACACTTGAAATTGATTGCACTTCGTGCAAGCTAGCAAGGAGAACCACCACCCATGCATTTATTCTTTCTACACTCACTCATATTATACTATTCACGTGAACACCAACACCGATCTCTGCCCCGGGCAAAAGTTCACATTGATATACAGAGCAGGGAAGGTACGAATACTTGACTGCCACGCCTATACCTGTGGGGAATCGGCACACATACCTAAAATTTGACGTGTATAGAAATATTAGCCAACGTCATGGTAGACTTCGAAGCCGACTATTACGGATTGACAGAAACATCATCAAGTCCTTTCATTTAACTCTTCACGTGGTTCACAGACAAGATCAATAATGCTGCTGTGAAATCATGATGCGCTACTGATAGAAATGTGCACATCATCTTTGTTCTTTACGCGATGTTTAGTAGTACTATGTTTGAATGTATGATCGGATCGGAAGCAAATGATACGAAAGCCACATCGTATCGTAGACAGCATCGACTGAGGATAACGTATTCAATGAGGAGAACGTCTTGCCGAGTACAAAGCTTGGCTTATAACTTATAAAAATATAGCATCAAATGATATTTGCCGACACTGACGATCTCTTACATTTTAACGATAAAGGACTAATGAGGAACATAGTGACACGTATCCCCGTAGGGAATCTTCTATGGGAACTCAGATGTCGTGTGAAATCGAATGCCCAATGCATGCGAATGTTCTGAGTTGTAATTGGAAGTATGCACCTATGACCCGTGGACGCTGAAATACCTGAACGCGTTCAAGGAAACATCTCAAATCTCAGCTTCATATCTCGATAGACCAAAATTTAATCAGTCACGCTATGTCAATATCTTATACTAGGTGTTCCCGCGAAAATGTTCGTCATTTTTTTTATCATCGGTGTTTAAGAAGTGTAAGTACCTTCATGCGATTACCATACTTGGAACAATCTGACAAACCGTGAAACGAAATGGGAGTTCCTTCCCCAAAAATGTTATAAAACGTCCAAACCGTCATAATGCAGTTTAGGGCATAAGAAACAAAACTTGCGTCCCTCAGTGGACCAGGAAACCCTGTTTTAAGATATAAATCGTTCCCGAATTATGCACTGTGACAAAGTGCCTTCCAGCATAACTTGTGATATGGATTGCATGTGCGCCAGTTTCCGCCCATACCATAATCTGCCAACTTCTATTTTTTGTACTTAAATCTGTTTGATGCAGATTACAGCAGTAGAACACCTACGATGTTTCGTATCTCTGTTTCTTTCTGTATTGCTTCTTACAAATGGTACAAAATATTTCATTGACCCTTAAAGAGAATATCATAATACGGAATCTGATTACAAAGATAAGAGATTGTAGGTTGATAGGTCCCACCATTGTTCACGGTATTGCTGCATAAATGTAGGTTAGTGAACAGTGCCGTAACAAATTATTCTTTATCCAATTGTATCTAATCACAAGAGTTGCACACCATATCTCACTTGCAATGAGTGCATAACGATGGTAAAATAATCATTTAATTTTATCTTTGATTTTTCATAAACTCACGGACAATTTTGGTGTTAAAATCAACGCATTTTTGACAGTCACACAGCATCACGGATGGTTATTACGTCAGAGGTGACATTATTTACACAATTATCCACGTAAATAGGTGATTAGGTGCTATTAGTTGTTGATTTAGTATATATATTTCCAAAGTCGTTTCTGAAATGGATTTCATTTTCAAATTCAGTTCTTTTATCAATCTATATGACTCCGGTGGGAAGCATACCCATTTTGGTAGTATTTTATATACAGTTCGTTCAGATGTTTTATCACGACAAAGCTACTGAATTACAATGACAACCGTTCATAAGGAAGAATGATAAGCCAGGGCAACACGCGACTCAACTTGTCACTTATGCATATCAGAATTTTTTATATTTAGGATATCACCGCACTTATGCAATTCTGGCCTCAGCCGCAACCGACGCGACGCGCGCGATTCCCCAGACGGCCTCCCTTGCAGCAATCGGTAAGAGATAGAGAAAGAGGGGCAAGAGAAAGAGAGAGGAAGGCATCTCGGCCGCGCGTCGCGAGCGCGAAAGAGAATCGCTTCCCGGAAATCGATTGCTTTGTCTCGCGCGCGCGTGGA